CAAAGCACCTCAGTGCACCTGGCTGGGCAGGTTGACACAGAGCTGTATCATCTAGCAGGTCATCTAGCATTTAGAAGGTGACCAGTTATTTGTTTTTCAAGTTGTACAGAGAAAATAAAACGTACAAGAAAGAAGTGAACTGCCATCAAGAACCATGCAACCCTCAGTTGTCATAACTGGGTCTATAGTACATATTTCAGGAGCACAGCAGAGTTTCCAAACAAAAGCAGAATATTATATCAAGTGTATGAGACATGCACATACACTCAGTTTTGTTCCTCTCACATTTTAAAACACACCAGTTAGATGGTAGCTCTTGGCAAAATCGAGGGCAACCTCACTGTCCTCTATATCATTGTTCTCAAATGAGACGATGCTTTGAGTCAGACTAAAAGACAGAAGCTGAAAGGGACCTGCCTTTGGGAAATTTTCATGTTTCTCATTATTCAATTGGAGTGGTTGAGTTCACTGTATCTGGAATTTATCAAAGTTTCCTGCACTATCATCTGATTAAAATTGTTAAGATTTGAACATTTTAATGAATTAGGAACTTGCTGGCTTTTGACAGTAAAAAGTAAAAAAAGCCTCATCAAATGCTTTCAAAAAAGTGACCTCCCCAAATTCTTCTGTGTATTTCTTCATTACATATTTATTGCTATTGTATTATTATCCATTACATGTCTAAAGGGAGGAGTATGTATCTTGGTGTATGACTATGGGCCCACACCCTTAACTTTCTTATATTATACAGAAAGCATTCTCTCTTAACCTTGTCAGCTGTGAGCTCAGAGGGCTGCGCTCTGCAGCCCCTTTCGTTTTGCTATCTTTGTTACACGATAATCATAAAGAGCATTCCCCTCCTGAGAATGGGAACCAATAGAGGAGGAACATATGTGTAAACACATGCACACATAACAAACCCACCATGTTGCATCCATAAACCTGTGCCTGTACATAACACACACAGTGTGTGCCTGTGTGTGTATACAACTCCACGGCCGCCCTTCGGGGAGCAAAAATGGCTTTCTGAAATGGAGGGTGAGTTTGGGGTCTCCAGGCCTTTCCACAGCGCGCAGCTCCGTGCTCTCTGCCAGGGGTGATGAGAGGTTTGTACCTCAGCAGCCACAGCCATTGTAGCTGAGCTGCAGCCCACACCGTCTGCTCAGGGAAGTTGGAATCGCTCCACTGGAAGTCAATGGAGCTGCATCAATTTGCGCAAGCAGAAGAGCTGGCCCAATATGTACTAGTTGTTTTACATTCTGAGAAGACAATGTTCATAATTGAAAGTAATACCAAATGCTCTTTGCAAATACTATGAATTATTCAGATTAAATATAGAGCCTTCAAATGACTCTATAAAATGTTCTAAACAGCTGTGCCTTGTAATTGGAACTGCCTGGCAAACTGGGAAGTATTGAATGCACTCTGAATTGGACTTGATATCTGAGTAAAATGAGTATAACACTAACCATATTCTAGAACCTGACTGGTTTTCTGCTAAATTTCTCTTCAGGACTTTTCTTCTTTACAGCTGCTGTAATCCTGTGTGAAAAAAAATCATGTAGGTCTCTGTTTGAAGTATAAGGATTGCAGGTTCTTTCATGTGCACAACTCACACAGCATGAATAAAGTAGATGATGAGAACAGTTTGGAGTGGAATCAGTGACTTTCTACTATTTATGTACACTTCAGCTTCTAGAATAAAGGAATTTTTCATTTTCAGCTCTAGTTTTAATTTTTAAAAGCTAGAAAGAATTCATAGTGGAAACTGACTTGTAAACAACTGTATTTGTGATTATTTATCAAGGGCCTGTCTACCTAATTCAGAAAAAATATGTTCTACCTTCAGAGGCTTGGATACCTTGTTTATATGACAGGTATTTGAAGACTCATGTTTCATTGTCTGAAGTGGTATGTTTGAGTATCTGAAGTGTGAGAGCGTTATCCAAAAGAGAAAAGAACAGAAAATGCTCAGCATTTTTTGAAAACCAGATTGTCTAAAAGTCGGAAGCAAAACTTTGAGCATGTTAATTCTTGTCATAAGAGCCTAGCTTAATTCAAATTGTGTCCTGGTGTTGGCTCTTACACACCACATTCCATGTTTGAAGTATAGTTATATATATTTTCATTCACATACTTTGTTAGCTTCACCTTGATACCTCAGGACAAGCCCTTTCACCTTGAACTACTGAAGATGTGTTACAACAGAGCTTGTCCTGTAGCCTCTTAAGGCTCTTCTCTCTGATTGAAGTGTAGTGGGGCAAATACCTGTCCAGTGAATGTTTGGGGTAATGCTTGTAACATGGATTGTGTTTGTAGACAAGTCAGAATGGAACATATTCTCTTTCTAGAGAAGAAAAGGCTTGGGAGAATCTCATCACCATATATAAATATCTGAAGGGATGGTATCTTCCAAAGAAGACTGAGCCAACCTCCTTCAGTGGTGCCCAACAACAGAATGAGAGGCACCAGGCACAAACTGAAACATAGGATGTTCTGTCTGAGGAAAAGGAAGCACTTTTTTACCATGAGGGCGACCAAGCACTAGCAATGGTGGCCCAGGGACATTGTAGAGCATCCAGATGGCTTTTAGTTATTCAAAAGCCACCAGGACAAAGTCCTGGGCTACGGGATGTAGGTAGCCCTGTGTGAACAGGGAAGTGAGATAAGTAGGCCTCCAAAGTTCCCCTCCAACCCCAAGCATTCTGTGATTCTGTTAGAGTACAAGGGTATGTTTGCAGTACTCTGGACCCTTTCTAGTGACTGACTGTGATATTACCTGCTATAAGCACAAGCCAGCCAGCAATCTGATGTTGATGTATTTTTAAGAGGGTTTTTTTGACACTCACAGCATCCTAGGACATTTTCTCCCAGGTCATCAAAACACATGGTTGCTCTATCATAAGGCTTTGAGGTTAGACATTATTTCAGCAATTCAGTGTAAATGTCACACTCTGCTGGAGACATATTCCCATTCTTTGGCAAGAACACTGTGTAAGGCAAAGAAATTAACAACGTGAAAAACAATGAAGGAAAAATGTTGGCAGCAACTGCACTTATTTTTTTTTATCCCCACAACTGCTGCCTACAAGCCAAAGTAGATGGTGAACAGTTTGGAAGATGTGTATTATGATTGCCTTAGGAAACAAACAGACCTCAGGGCAGATTAATAATGAAATAGCTAATGCACCACTTGAGAAAAACATACCTTCTGTTATTTTATTCGACTGATTTTCCTGAAATGTCCCTTATTTCAAATACTTCCAAAAGCTTCAGACAAGAGACCTGTGGGCAGGGTGTGAACAACACATTGCATCATTTTATTACTTACAGTACCGACAAAGGGCCAATCTATCTGCCCAGATTTCCAGAACTTAGATGATTTTCAATAGAATAAATAAAATAAAGGTGAAGAAATTGAAAGTGACCTTAATATATTGATATTTATGTGAGATTGATACCATGCTTTTTTGGAAATTACTTAGGTTCTCATTGACATATTCAGGTATCTTAAACCTATAAGCATCTCAGATAAGAGCTTAATTTTTCTCTCTTTCACCACAAGATTACAATTATTTCCATGGTGTTGTATCAATAGAACAAATTGAGAATTAAATTTCAGTATTTCAACTGAATTGTATTCCTTATTTGTAAGATAACCATATTTCTGAGACTACTGTTGTGTGCAGCAAATGCACATAGGACCATATAATCAGCATCTAATTAGGCCCACTTCATGTTATATTTGCTTAATTTTAACTTTCTTACAGCTATAATTTTTTCCTTTAGCCATTATAGCAGTTGAATTTTAATTACATTACCAACAAAAAGCTCATTAACATCACGTAATTGGCAGCATTTCCAAAAAAACCTGAACTAATTGAGTATTTTCTGAAGAGTTCCCATCAAAGTATAATTTAACCATTACAAACAGCTTGGCAACTACATTTGCATAAAGATGTATCTAAGGAATGTTCTCATGTGTGGAAAATCAGATTTGATATTGCCATTAACAAACGAAGGAAGCTGTTACATAGCAAATTACTTCCACATTTTAATTATTTTGGCCAAACCCCATGTTTTTGTCAAGAAAGTCAAATGAAACCCCTTGCTTTTCCACAAAGAAGCAGCAACTGGTCTCTGACTGAGAGTTATGAAGCAGCTTGCTTTGTGGGAAGGCAACACAATCTATTTTAGGTTATTTTGCACTCTCAACAGCTAATAGCAGAGATTGTGTCAGAAAGACCATGGTTCTTATGCAGTAGACTAATTAAACACATGACCAAGCAATTGTTTAATCTACAATGGATCTCTTGCCAATTATCTTGTTAATATTCGTATATTATGACAGGACTGATTTAATTACTAATGAAAAGAATACAAGTATTCCAATAATTTTTAGCTTCCACCATTTTTTAAAGACTCCCTAAAATTGTTGCACTAGAAACAAAACAAAGAAAGCTTGCACAATCCTTTGATCCTTCCCCTCCAGTCTGTGATGAATGACACTGAGATCAATTTGAATGCTGAGGTGATGATTTGAAATTAAAAACAGGTCAATATGGCTCACATACTTTGAATACAGGTGAAAAACCCACTGATATATGATAGTTATTATGAGTGTCCTGCTTTCATGTTTAAACCTGAACACTGAGAGTTTTGCAGAATCAAGGTTTCAAATAAGAGTTGAATAAAATTTGAACACATTCAATACTGTCAATAGGTATCCAAACTTCAGTGTTAAATATTGTGTGTTCCTATGTCTTCTTGGATTCTTTACAAAAGGTTGGAAATCAATTTTGAGAAACTGGTTCTTGTTAGAATGCTAATTAGGTGCTTGCAGTGCTTCCTTTGTCCTTTCCCACTTTACAGTTCTAGTTAACAAATGCAACCATATTAATCTGACAGTGTGCATTTGCAATGAACCACCATTCTTGGACTGCAGAATGTAAGTTTAAGCAAGTCAGCAATAGATGCACAAGACCCTTTACATTCTGATTTTATTTCTTCTGTCAAAAGATATCAAATGTGTCAAAACATTTGTTACCGTAACATTTGCTAATATACAATATCAAAAGTGGATGTAAACATGAAGTTTAAAATTTCAAAGTTCCTGTGATCAATTCACCTGAACACTAGACAACTTGGGCACTGCTGTCTTTTCATTCTCCCAAAGATGTCTCAGATGCCTTAGCATGCTCTGAGTAACCTACTTATTCTGACAAAGAAAAGCATTGTTTGAGGAAGTGGGTCATATGTGTGTAGAGATGTTTGCTGGAAAGGCCTGGAATTCCATGGTTCTGATCAGTATACCACTGAAAGAAAAAGCAAAAACAAAACATAAAACCCTTATGTCATGTTTTCAATTCTGCAAGAGTCAAACAAAATACAAAGAAATGTATTTTATTGATACACATAAGAAAGTGGATGGCTCAAGAAAAATGAGGAACCTGATAATTTTATTTTTCATCAGTTCCCAATATATTCTTATTCTTGCTGAAAAAAAAGTTTCTAAGCCTTCTGTTATTTAAGAGTAAGCATTACTGCCTCAGTACTTAGAGGCCAGTTGTATCAAGTCAGGCAAAAGAGCCTTGAGATGCTGCTAGGGATGAAATCCCCTTGGCCTGCTGCATGGCCTGGGTAATAAGGGTAAGAGTCCTGATTAGGAATAAGTACTGAGCTCTAAGCAACAAGATTTCAGCTAAATGTTGTTTAAGTTCTATCCAAAACAATCTGCTTTATAGCAGGGCCATGAACCTTGTGAGTGATGATCTGGAAATAAAACACACATATGAATTATGCTAACTCAGAAATATCTGCCATTCCACTGTAGCTGAACCAGAATGACTACATCTGCATACAGTATTCCAGATACTTAAGATATAACCCAGATTTGCTAAAGATCAGCAAAGGAGGCAGAAAATGTGTAACACGCAAAAGGGCCTATAAACCCCTATTATCCCTTTTTGGGAGTTCATGGCCCTGTGAAACCAGACTCGGACAGAAGATCAGTATACTTGATAGCAGGCAAACACTTTGGTTATTAGCCCTGAAGAAAAGGGTTTGGAAGCAGAGGTTAGCATATAAACCAGATCTACATTTCCCCTGTTTATTTCTCCTTTATATCCTGCAACCTCTTGCCTATGTGTTTCTCTCTCTGCCTGTGCCTGCTATCCTATGCAAGTCTTTCAGAGAACTTTTTTTTTGCTGATTCTGGATATATATTTGGATACCTTACACCCTTTTTGCTTGTTTCACTTCTTGTCTGTCGCAGGCAAGTCCAATTCAAGATAGACTCTTTCATAACTAGTGACAATTTGGCCCCAGAACTCAGCTCTTTCACCTTCCTCTTTTACCCGGTATCAAAAACACTTATAAGGAGGCTGAATTCTTATTCTTCTCCCTGGCTCATTTTAAAAGCCTCCAAGTTATTCTTGACAAGAGGAAAATCCTGCTAGCATGCAAAGGGCAAAGAAAAAAAAAAGAGCGGAAAAATCATTTGGGGAAGAAATTGAAAAGTTGTTTACGAAGGATAACAAATGCACTAGCAATTGCCAAATTTTGAAGCATGTTCAGTTGAACAGGGTAGTTAAAAACACAGATAAGCTTATTGATAAAGTTATGAACCACTTTTCAAAATGAAAAATAGTCTATTATTTACCATTGCCTGGAAATCCACCTGTGCATTAACCAGAGCTTTTGCAATTTGTGCTGAGTTCTGAAAATGTACATTATCTGAAAAGAAAAAAAAAGAGATTGTCTGTTGAAACATGTTAATGCCACAAAGCATAAAGTTATAGTGCATTTAGCTGTGTCCACTAATTATCAAGTGATACAGTTGACATTACTAAGAACGAGTAAGCATCTTATGATAGGTCATATGGAAATCTACCAAAGATCTAAGTCCTGACCCAATCAAAGATAGATGCTTAATGTTTTTCAAACAAAGTGATTCTGGCTCTGTGTTTGTTCTGCCATTTGCAAACCTCACCATCTGCTGTTCCATGGATGAGAAGATACTCTACATTTTGGAAATTCTTTGCTCTTGCCATCACAGTTGAATTCTGTTGAGAGGAAAAAAGAACAGTTCAGCAACTTTAATTTAAACCACTTATTTATAGTGCTGAAAGGCTTTCATTACCTAGTAAAAAAACAAACGGTTGAACTGACATGACAGCAGTGGCTTCATATCAATCTGAGAATAGAAACCATGTACAAGGCTGTATATGTGTATATATATATATAGATATATATATATATATCAGTCTCTACAGCGGGATCTGAACGATCTGGATCAATGACCCAAAGCTAGTTGTCTGAGGTTCAACAAGGGAAAGTGCCATGTCCTGCTCTTGGGTCACAACCACCCCTATGCAGCACTGGGGGCCATGTGGAAGGGTGGCTGGAAAGCTCTCTGGTAGAAAAGGACCTGTGGGTATTGGTTGAAACAGCTGAACATGAGCCACTGCATCCCCAGGTGGCCAAGAAGGCCAGAGCCATCCTCACCTGTACCAAAAGTAGTGTGGCTAGCAGGACCAGAGAAGTGATCATCCCCCTTACTGGGCACTGGTGAGGCCGCACCCCAAATCCTGTGTTCAGTTTTGGGCCCAACACAGACACTGAGGTGCTGGAGTGTAACCTGAGAAGGGTATGGAGCTGGGGAGGGTCTGAAGAGTGAGTCTTCCGAGGAATGGCTGAGGGTGTTCAGCCTGGAGAAGAGGAGGAGGGACCTTAACATTCTCTATGACTCCCTGAAGGTATATTTTAGCCAGGTGGGGGTTGGCCTCTTGTCCCAGGCAATAGTCAACCAGACAAGAGGAAATGGCCTCAAATTATGCCAGAGGAGGTTTAGACTGGATATGAGGAAAAATTTCTTCATGGAAAGGGTTGTCAGGCATTGTAACAAGCTGCTCAGGGCAGTGGTTGAGTCACCATCTGGGAAGGTATTTTAAAGATGTGTAGATGTGGCACTTGGGGACATGGTTTTGTGGTGCACTTTGCAATGTAGGGTTAATGGCTGGATCTGATGATCTCAGAAGTCTTTTCAAACTAAATTATTCTGTGCATCTGTGATCTGTGACTTTGGCTTCAGGACAGGAATACCTATAAATAAATACTGTTTTTTTCTTACATCATTTGCACGTGTTCTGAAAAGCACCAGCGGAAGAAAAAATATTAATCTGCACCATATTGATGATATCTGTCCATAGAAGGTCCCTGTGCAAGGCTTGGCTTGCAGCAGGTAGCTTTCTGTGCTGTCACAAATGTCTCTACACTATCAGAAACAGATTTGATATTTACTGTCTTTTCTGTGGGCCAATTCATACAAAGAACAGCACTAGTCATGTCATTCCCAGAATGCTCTAATTCCTGGCGACCCAGACAGCTCCACCAGGGCTGTTTGGTTCGAGTGTTTCTGTTCTTCGAGTTGGGATGGAAATACGTAGCAGAACACGATCCAAATCTTTAACAGAAGTGTTTGTTCTAAAGTTCTTGGATGTTAACTAAGTTCTAAGTTCTAAGTTCTTGGATGTTAACTCAGGCCTCTCTGTATCCAGAGCTGGTGTGTGCTGCTAGAGGAAACTACAGATTTCCTATCAATGTGAAGAAAAGAATGGCAAACTGTTCTAGGTAGGGGAAGCTGCTCTGATCATTTAGTATGCTTATGATCTTATTATCAGAGAGCTAAATTTGGATGAAGCAGTTTGCATATCTCAGCTAACAGTACCAACCAAAACCTTATTAACATCAACATTTTAATCCCTCTCACTTCAGTTCTTTTCTAGGCTAATGTTTAGCACTGGCAGAACAGTATGATTTGTCCAAGTAAGAAAATAATGACTTCCATTTAGCTTTTTTGGGATTTATAAATACAAACCTACAATTAATTATGGAGATAAGAATTTCATGGTAGTAGCTTTGCTACAAAAGGACTGTGTCGTGGTGAGGGAAACTTGGACACTCAATATGAGTGTTTAGCAAGCTTCGTTTATTGAAGAGAGCATCAGACTTTTATGCTCAACAAGTAATAAGCTCATATATATTCTGCAAGCTAAGCAATTTATTGGCTATACTACAATATCAGCTCTTCTTCACACCTTAGAGGTTACATCTTTCTTTTCTCATGTCTCTTCACTACGTGTTATTGTACTACAGCTAAGCTCAAGGACACAGTGTTTTGCAAGTGCAGAGACCCAAATTAGCTGCATCCTCCTGATTCTTAGACCAGAACGTAGCCCCTGTCACGTGGCCATTCCTCCACAGGACTGCACCATGAGAGCTGGTGAGCCACTTTATTTCATCACAGTTCCACTTACCCATAGAAGTGTTATTCAAATTTAAGGCAGAACAGCACAGAAACAGAATTCTCACCTTATAGTGCTCAAGATTATCGGACTTTATAGGAAGACCCATAAATCGTTCTGTGTAGATTGATGCTGAAATTAAAGAAGAAAAAAGCTATAGGTAAAGAAAGTGCAGATATTTTGTGGCTTCAGTGACACATAGGAATTAAATGATGTTTAACTGTGTCTGTTCTTGGCTTCCTCATAATACATCAAATTTTCACATATTTTAAAAATCAGCTATGAAGGCTAATTATTTACTGTTCTCCAAACCATCTTTGCAGAAATAGTGGTTTTATACTCATCTGGGTTTTGGGGATAAAGGCAATTAATTTATATGGCTTTATGCTGTTGGGTTGAACTCCAGAAGCCAGTTGAATAAGGCAATGAGCCAATATGAGTGCATGGTGGAAAGATGACACAGACTAATTCTGACACCTTAAAAAGAGGAGATGAGGATTTGTATGTGCATTTACAGTAAATATGGGTATGCATGTTGTCATTTTCCTATTGAATGCATATATGCAGCAACTAGAGAGAGCAGGAAAAGATGCAGGCATGAATGAAAAGGTGGCCCATTGCTTTCCAGGTCTCTGTTCAATTCCTTTTTCTAACTACAACAAAGACTGGTAACAGATTTTACAAAATAAATGTGAATAACTGAACAGTATCCATCATCAAGAAATCAGTGGAAACATCTCTCTTTGAGCTGCCTTGGTATTTGTAATTTAACTAGGAGCTGCTATGAAAATTTATGGAAAACTGACACAGCAGCTGCTACTACCAGAAGATTACTTTCTTTATGACCTTGCCTTGAAGGAGGAACTGACACATATTGAGCAGTTAAGCTGCAGAATTACAAGGACTTTATTTATTTAAGGAAGTCAGGGCTTTCTGACAAAGAAGAGTTGTTATCTTTTCCTCTCAAAAGACAGGTGATGGCCATTGTAATCATTAAGGAATTGGGATTGTCTGTCTTGTTCAGTTTGATACACTGTATCAGAACAACTTTTTGTTAAAAAATAGAAATGAGAGTCCTCCCAGGAAAAGAAAATGAATCAATATACTCATGTTCCCACAGTTTATTATGTATCGTTTACATGTGCTACCTCTGAGAGCTAAAGACATGTACTATGTCTCCCACATCAGCCAAGCAAGGCTTCTGAAGATAATTTGTAATATAAGTACCAAAAAAATTTAAGTAGCCTATCTTTTATCAAAATCCTTTATCATTCCATGAAAACAGAAAATGTGCAATATCTGTTGTCAACACAGTGTCAAACAACCATATTGGGCTTAAGTTTTCAATAAAATAGACTCTTTCTGAATGGCTGGCATTTCTACAGTATTCTGAGCCAATTTTTCCACCCTCTACTACCAGTATAGCTACAACAAGTCCACAAAGGTCAGCAGAATTGCATTATAATGACTAAGTGGAAGATTCAGCTTGTCAATTATTGAGGAAGGAAAAGCAGATGAATTTAAATAAATTTTAATAAAACAGTCACAGATACAATGCTTTTAACTATACATTGTCCCTGAATGGAACCTTCCTTTCCATCTTATAACTGTTCAGCTCTGACTCAAAATGGAGGGGGGTGGGACAGTTTCTGACAAAAGATTTTGGCCCAGAATCTCATCTGTGCATCTAAAAGAGGGCTGGACAGAATTTAGAAGCTCTAGGGGCCAGTACATCCTATGACATACTGATACTACTTGGAGACTCAAGGAGCTAACATCCTGTAGTTTTGCTCCTAACACAGTTCACCCTAATGGTAACATGATCTGTTTGCCAAAACTTATGACTCATGTTTCCTTCCTTCCTTAGTGGAGGTACATTTGCCTGTTTGGATTTTACAGTGTGTTTTCAGCAAGATTCTTTAATTGCCACCTGAAAATTCAGCTGATGTAGAGACTGCAATGGTGCAGGTCTAATCTGCTTAAACTTAAAAACTTCATTTGAATTTTGATGCTGGGACAAATTTTTATAACATGTCTTTTATTAAGGGACTTTTGCGAAAGCAGTGCTTTATGCCTGCATTCTAGAAATAATTTTGTGATCATGAGTAAAAATGCCTTAAAAAAAATCTTGATGCCAGCGAAAACACGAAGACTATGCTTCCTGTGTCATACAAATATTTTCCCCTTTGTTTGCAAAACACCATAAATACAAGGAATGTCTGTGCTAGCAGTCAGGGAAGGAATCTTTCCCATTTAACCAAAAATTTTTCTCATAACCAAGACTTCTTAGAAAACGACCATATGCTAAGTAAATGTGTTCAAAGTGCTACATTTTACTCATTGAAAATATTCATGCCATGATTTTTTTTTTACACTAAGGTTCCTTAACACCATGCCAAAAGCTTAGCAGGTCGGCAAGTATGAGTATGTGCCTGCTTTATTCACACAGGAAGGCCTTGGGAATATACACCCAGTGTTGTTTCCTCTCAACAGTTTGCAGCCTAATTCCATAAATATAAATAAGAATATGTATTGTACATATTGTACAACAATACAGGCATGGCTGAGAAACATTTAGAGGGAAAAGTATTAAATTAAAAAATATTATATTGAACACAATAGTCTTTCACTTTTTCCACTGCTTTTTGGAAACAACTTTGCAGTCATCAGAAATACTGATTCCTGACATAGGTCATCTGTGGTTTCAGAAGTTGAAATGTACTATGATTCTGTTGCTGGCAGATAAATCAGTTCAGCTGTTTCCGAATTCAGTGATAATGCTTTAATAGGACTTTAAGGCAGATCACTCCTTAATAGCAGTTTATTGAGAGGGCTTTATACACTTACTGTTTTAGAAGTGCATATGGAATTATCCAGACATACCTTCTTTGTGACAAAATCAGTTCCAAACTGCCAGTTGCACTCAGTTATTTTCAGCAAGAAAAACATTAAACTTAAGGTCTTAAAAGTTTTAAATCTAGGTAATTTGAATGTCTTTATGTTTCAAATTGCCAGTCTCCTGCGATGGTTTAATTTAAGAAGTCATTAAATGCTACATCTTGCTTTCCAAGTCAGTATTTATGACAAGTTTCCATACCGTAATATTCCCAGCTGGAAACAGGAGCCACAGCCATTCCACATTTAAATACTCCACTGCCAGATCCAAGTGCCAAAGAAGTTACATAGCCACCATAGGACTAGGAGGAAATCACAGACGGTTTAAAATTACTGGTGAAGTATCATTCTGTTTTCTGAATTAAACTCATATAAACTAATTCCAAATGAACTAATTTGCTTTGCATGCATGGAGGACAAAATAACAAAAGGTTGAGGGTTTTTTGAAATTAATTTATTGATATCAAATGGATCTGATGTAATTTCTTGTGAGACAGATTAGACAAATTAATTTCTTTTTTTTTGCTGCTTCTTCAATGTTTATCACCGTTTTCATTACCACTTACAGTCACAGAGAAATTGAATTTTGTAGCATCCTTCACGGTAATCTAATGCAGCCTATAGCTCAAAAGAGGACTAACTTCACACAGAAATGACACTGATTGCAGTCTCATCCATAGTACACATCCTCTCCACTCTATCTGCTTTAACAGTGATCGATTTTGTCATATTTTTTTCCCTAAAACCAAACAGAAACTTTCCTTCTGGTAGCTTGTTTTCATTGCCTCTCATCCTTTCAAGGTGCACCTCCAAGAAGAGTTAGAGGTTTTTTTCCCTCCCTTAACAAACTACCTAGGTTTTGCTAAAGATCAGCATGTTGAACTGACCCAGTCATCAGTACTAATAAATATACTCATTACTTCAGGATGGAGCAATTCTTCCCTATGGCTGCCTGCCACTGTTCCTGGTATTTTCTGGCCTGATTCCTCAAACTGGGACCCAGAAAGGAAGAATAAGTTCCCAGCCATAAGAAGGGTAAAGCAGTAAGTAAACCTAGATATAAGAATAGATCTGTGAAACTGAATGGGGCTAGCTGCTGAGACAGGAAAATAATGTAAATAAGAAGCCTTTGGTTTGGCTCTCCACAGGATGTGGAACTGAAGTTGGAAAAACTCATATAAGGTCTTTGCAAAATAATGGGTTTCTGTTTACTTTGGAATGGAGGAAGGGATAAAAGTATGGCGTGTCATGAAAAATTCTGAAGATTACTTCAGTAGTATATGAAAGACTAAGCGAAATAAGCATTTTTTTTTTGTACAGAAGTTAACTTAGTCCATCCTCTTGACTTTTCAGCTTGGAATGATAGTGAGGGATATAGTAGTAGAAACACTAATTAGTAGAATTTTTCCAACTCATCTGATTTGCTCATTTGATCTTTCAAAAAATCAGTCCACAAGGCTAAAAAGTAAGGGCTTAGGATTGGGCGATAAATATGTTCAGTGTAACAGGCTGAGAGAGTTCACAAGCCAAATTACTTTAGTAGTTATTTAAGAGCTTTTGCCATCTTGAAGAGTTTGTTGAGTCTGAAAGCATGAGTTCATGCACATTCACCAATCTGCAGCCTACAAATAAGAAAACAGCTTTCAACTCCTTTCAAAGCTTACAGACTAAGAAATGGTATAATAAATTGCAAATAAATTGGAAAAAAAGGTTGATAGGTTTGGCAGTAGTGCCTTTATTTTAATATTATATCCACTATTGGAATACGTGTCCAAGCTCTTAGTTGGTTCTGGAAACACTGTGGTGAAAGAAAATATGATGTGACTTAAAAAAGAAAATATTTTCTTGAGACCTTAAATTACCTAATGTCACTTTAGAATTATTCACTTCTAAGCATCTGTGTCATTTAATTTCACCATATGATACCCATTTTATTCTGGTATTACAGTAGTAACTGTACCAAAGTAACTTAAATATTGGTTGGTAGAAGCTTCATAGAAAGATTTTTAGCAACTCTGCTCATGTGCTGTCTAAGATGAGGCAATATATCTGGCTATTAAAGGTTCTGGGAGCATTACAAAGAGAAATACATGATAAAAGCAAACATGAAAAATAGACTGGCTAATAATTTGGAATGACTCCCATACTGCCCAATTTTTCCATGTCTTGGTGAAGCTGTCAATGTTGTAAAGCCCTCAGATCCAGATTTCTCCCTGATGACCAGGGAGAAATCCTGTAAAGCCAGACAAGTACACAGTGATTCAGGATGATGCAGGGGTCACATTTTCTGATGAGAGATAGTCATAGGACTTTTCTCACTATCTTAAACTCAGATCAGAAAGGACAATACTTGAATTTTGGCAGTAAGTTCCTAAGTTAAAACTAAAGCCAAATAAAATGTCTTAATTTGGCTTGACTTCCAGTCCAAACAATGTATTAGACATGAGCTTTTCAAAATTCCCTCTTGAGCTGCCAAAGGTTCATTTTTGGGGGCTTGAACTGTTGCAGTTGCATGTATATAAGTACCAGCAGGAACCACCCCCTTTGGCAATACCATCATATATTTGGAGAAGAAATTTTATATATACTTAAGACAGAACCAGGAATAATAATAATAATTAAAAAAAATTATACTGCAGGATTATTTAAAGATAGATCTAAAAACTCCAAACACTTACCCAGCCCCATATTGCTATTCGTTTCTCATCAATAAAGCCCATTTCTATAAATTTTCTGTGGAAAATAAAATCACAGATATAAATGCATTATTACAAAAAATTGCTAGTACAATAACAAATTAGCAAAAAATAGTTTTTCTTGCACTTTTTTTTCCACACATCCCACCAATTTGAGCAAACTGACAATCAACATAGCATGCCTGATTTCTACAAAGCATCAACTATTCAATCAATAGGTGTTGAAAGGGAAGAGGAAGAATTCTTCCTGAAAGAAAAGAAAATACTGAAATCAATACTTTCATAATAATAATTTTTGTTCCACTGGATGAGGATAATTTTCATTGCTTTAGTGCCAGTGGTGCAGGATTACCATTAACATTCAAACTTTATCGTGCAAGATACCCAACATACGGATGTCACAGTGAGTTAATACTTTGATTTCTCAACAGGAACAGTATTGACTTCTGAGGAGATTAGGGATTCCCTGCAGAAATAAGCGGTTTTTTATGTGCCTGAAAAGTAAAAAGCTCTTATGGCTACTTTAATAAAAAATAATAATGAAGGAATCATCTACTAATGCTCCAAGTAGGTAATAAGTTTGAAATGTATAAAAGGTGCAAAACTTCTTACGCTCTCAAGAGTCAAACAGGTCAAAGAGAACCATAAATATTAGGTCTCCTACAAATACCCTGAATCAGAGTGTGGAGACTGTATTTCTAAGGAAATATTAGCAACAGCAAAGAAGAGAAGATGAGGCAAAAGACCACAAAGGATTGAGAGTGACAGATAAACACAATAGGTTTGATACACATCAGAAACACAGCAGCCTTATTTACCAGGACAAGGGCAAGTGGCTGACAACAGCCAGAACGTGGGATACTATCTGGGTGGGACAGAGTTAGAAAAGCCAAAAAATTATTTAGTTTTGTTATATTACTGTGTAATCCCTGGCGCTCCACCTGCAGTAAAAGCCCCCTCCAAGAACTTCCCACTAGAGTATAGAGGCTCTCTAAAAATCATGCATCTTAATCCATGTGTTAGATCAGGAAGATGGAACGCACTACATTTAACTGAATAAAAATTTAGTCTAGGTGCTGACAGAAAACTGGGAAGTGTGAAGTCTGAGGTCATTTTTTCATGGCCTGTCTCAGCAGATTTTGCAACTGCAGAATCCATTTAGTTTCCCTCTGATATTCTATGTCTGAGTAATGATTCAGAATCATATAGAAACATTCTTCTTATATTTTGAAGTATACCACTCCTCCTAAAATTTTCAAGATAAAAAAACAGAATAATAGAAAAACTTGGCATGATATACAGCTATTCTGTTTCATTTATCACTGAAAAGGATAATGGTGCATTTATATTTATAACATTGAGGAAGAAATGAATTATCACAAAGCAGAAAGAGGAAGGAACAGATATCCTTCCCACACACACTTGTAAGTACAGGCAGCGCTCTCAAACAAGCAGAGAAAGCTGTGAAAATCTGGGTTGCTACATCCAATTTCCAGCTAAGATACTCTAGTATCTTCGTGGAGTCTGGAGGAAATAGGGTATTTACTGTTGCACCTGGAAGTCTATCTATCTAGATAGACTGGAAGTCCATATCCATCTATCTATCTATCTATCTATCTATCTATCTATCTATCTATCTATCTATCTCTAATATCGCTGAAATCTATCCAATCTAGCTCTGATGGGCCAAATTCCATACCAAAGGCTAGGATAAATTCCTGCCTTGCAGTCATCTCTGTGGGGTTCAAACTAACCCTTCTTTGAATGCTCACTTTAGCAGTGCTACTGCATCTGTAAAATTAACAAGACAATCTTTCTTGGCAATCCTCATCTTTCACTTTCTCCCAAAAATCTCTGCATAGGGAATCGGTTTCCCCTGGAACAATTTCAAGTGTTTTCATGCAAAGGAGCAGCTGTTGGGGAACACTTATCAAGGGACCTCAGGTACTTTCTGTGCTTAACTGTCCTACAACAGCACAGAATGCAGGTTTGTGACTAATTGACCTGCAGAACATTTGTGTCAGTTTCAGTTTTGCTACCGAATTCTCATTTAACCTTCAGCTAATCAGTGAGGTAAATCCCTATGGATGTCTGGCTAATCTCTATGGTCACCAAGATAGGCTTGCCCTACAGGAAATAACTTCAGAAAAATGGATAATTGGCTTAACTTTCACCACTGACAATTGTATTTCTTTAGGCTTAGGAGTGAAGCCTCTGATGATTCTCTTATGCAATGCAAGTGGTGAGGTCCAAATGTGGACTTACTGGTATATGGACTTAATATACCAGACAAAACCTCACTGACAGCAAGCAAACACTAATATTTTATTTTTACAAGTGTTTTCATCTTATATCCTGGAGACCTCCAGTCTTCAGAAGAAAGGCTGAGAATTCAATATTTCTTTCACCTTACTACTTCTTGGTATGCAAATACAACAGCTATACAGGGAGATAATCTACTTACTTAACTGCTGAGATTTGGTCCTCAACTTCATAGACTCCAAGTCTTCGATATACTGCATGCAAAATCTTGTCACCTTGATAAGCTGTCCCTCTGCCATCCACCAGAGCAACAACAATTCCCTCTTTGCTTGCAAGATAGGTTATCCAGCTAATGCTAAAGGTTGCCTTTACATTTTGAGTGCAAGGTCCTCCATACCTGAGGATGAAAATTCACACATTTTCAAATCACAGATTTATAAATGGTTATTGGACACTGGACAATAACTATTGGTACTGAAAACATTTCCTCCACATGTATTTTGCTACATAACTGAGGTTCAGAGAGCTCAGTAAACAAACAGTTCTACTACTATTTTCAAGTAGTTATGAGATTTGTTATGCTATCTAACATCCATTTTAATAATTTAGGTTTTATCTGTGAGGGAAATAATTAGTTTCAGCTTAGACTAAATGGTGCAGTTTCAGCTGCTTGTCCTAAGGGGAATCCTTGGAAAAGCTATCCCTAAAAGATTCAATTCTTTGCTCTCTCCAAATTCCTTAGGAGTAACATCCTTTTTTGGTGCTTTTCTGCTTTTTTGCTTTTGATTTCCACATGCAGTCAGTAATGCCAAAAAAAAAGCAAGATTAAGAAGTACAGCTCCTTACACTTTTTGGCTATCCCCCGATCTTATTTGTTTCAGTAGGGAATAACATGTGCTGTTGGAAGGGTGGGCAGAACACACCCCACATAGCTGAGCAAACGGAGACACTCCTCATGAGAATGGCCTAATGCAAATTACACATTTGACCTCAAGGACAGGACTTTTCTACTCTAAACTTCAAATATACTTAGCATTCTTGGACCTTTGGATCATCACAGGTTATAAAATAAAAAATTATGTAATTGTTTATTACACCCACTCAGCTCTCCTTTCTCCATATTTTTTCTTTTTTCACCACTGCAATTTTTATCACTTTTCTGCTTGCAATAAATTGTGTCAAGTGCTCTTAACAGCTTAGTTTTCTTTTCATCTTAAAAAATGAAGCAGGCTCTTGTATTTTTTTTATATTAGCAAAGCTGAAATCAATACTACTTCAGACTACCTCATGATAAACAGAAGAAGCAACAGAGCTAAGATCTACAAGGAATAACCTAAATGATTTTAGCCTTTCTCTTTCTCTGAGAAAGTAATCCTTATCATGCTAAGATTAACACTAAAATCCTTATCGATCTCCATTGGGATGAATTTCTATTCCAGAAATACATTGAGAAAACCACAACAAATGAAACAGAACTGAGTAGTTTTGCTTTTACTTTATAAAATGTTGCAAATGTCCCAGGTTTGTTAAATTAGAAAAAGTATTTTTTCTAATGAAACAACAAGATTCAAAGAAAGGAAGAGTTACATACACCTGAATTAGCAGAGGGTACTTCTTGGATCTATCAAACTGTGGAGGTAGAAGCATTTTGTACCACAAAGCTAGAAAAGACAAATTAAAATTAGATTCTTAATGGTTGAAATGATTCCTCTAGGCATAATCCAGAGTCTGGGGTAACAGTATATGAACATGAATCAGCACACAGTACACAATGCACAAACTGTGAATCACAGAACTGATGCAATTAACTGTTTATATTGAGCTGTTGAAGAACAGCTTTGAAGAAACCCACACTTCAATTTAGCTATGCTAAATTATTACTTCACAAAAGTCTAGGTTCTCAGTTTTTCCAGGTGGCTAGAAAAGTATAACCATTTTAAGATTATCAGATATTAGTTTTGGAAACTTTATACTGATTTATTACCATGGGATACTGTTGGTAAGTCACTACTGAAAAGAACAGTGAAAGCAAGTCAATATAATGCATAACACATGAACAGCATCTTACATTTCCCATTTTATTACCACCATATTATATTGTTTTTCACACGATATTTAAAATCTTTACCAATAGTATTAAAGATTTTTTAGAAACGTGCATTGTGAACCAAATGTATTTTAACTACTATTTTACAGAGAGATAACCTGAGGCATAGACAAATCAGCTGTTATTGAACAGGGCAGAACCAGGCCTCTTCCCAATCCGACAGGCCAACAACTTTGTTCTACAGAAAGAAAGTATTTACTATAATAAAACTCAGGCAAAATATTAAAATGGTAAGAATAAAAAGCACAATAAAGACGTGTAATTCTTACTTATACCATCCACTTCAAGCTTATTAATTTCTTCTTTTGGCAGTCTGATATCTTGCAAAGCAGACTGCAATTCCCAATTGTCTTCCAATACTTTGAGCTCTAAGTAAAAGAAATGCCTGAATTATTAACTGATTTATTGTTAATTTCTCTTCAGTAATTAAGATTCTTTTACTTTGTGTTATTAGAACAGAAAGGAAATCTGTGAATTTTACAAGCAGAGTAATGAAATCCACTCAGACACTTCTAATTGGGCTTGATCACATAGCTAAATGAAAGAAAAGCACTGGCATTGCAGTGCACAAATACTCGTTAGATTTTTATAGGATGTACATTTTGCAATGCAAATCATTTCACATGTTGCCTCTGAGTGTTAGAGTCCCGCATGTTAAGAGGAAACAGCTTTCTCCTGCAGATCCCTCATCCCAGTTTTGTAAAATGGGGGAGCTAGAAATGCAAAATTCATAGCTCTGTGCAAAACACAGTCCTGTGTCTCTGGTATTTCCTCTCTTGCCTATCAGACTAACATCAGTTTAACCTCCAAGACCCTTGGGCAGTGTGGTCAAGCACATGGTCATCAGGGAGTATCTTAGTTCTGGGTAATGCAGGAAATTCAATTTCTCAAGGGGTTATGGCAAAGCTTCACTTAACCACTGGACGATACATTCCTACACAAAGACACCAGACTTACCATCTCACTGTCCTTATTACTGCTCACTTAGTAAACATTTTTTTCCTTTTTACTTGCTTTAGACCAAATTCAGTTACATAATTTAAAAATTACTGTTTAAAATTTAATTAACTTACAGGACAGATTGCAGAACTGTATATTATTAATAATTTGGTTCTCGTTTCTTTATGTGTTTTCCCGTGAGTATTGCAGGATGAAGAATATTGAAAACATAATGGAAATCTGTGACTTTTAGCTTCACTTTCAGAATGAAAGAACCTTTTAAAACTGCAGGAGATTTTTCTTTTTTCCTTTACCTTTCCCTTCTACTTGTTTCTGGAAATTTTCAAAAAAGTACAAGAAGTATTCTTCTCTCAACATATATTGAGCTAGGTAGTGCTTGGGACATGCCAGAAATATAATACTGAAATTCGTTCTTTCAAAGTACTCTTGACAAGTTTTGCAGATTCAAGTGGGTTTTTTTATGGCTGAAAGACCATCCTGCTCTTGGATGCTCATGCAAACTGAGCTGAACCCTTTTCCAGCCTTCCCCTCAAAACTCCTGAAACTTTCCCATTACCACAACTGAATTGTAGGCATCGTGGAAGGAACTTCCAAACTGATCTATGTCAGTTTAACTGTCTCCTACTAAAATTCATGGGTGATATAGTTTCAAAATGCTGCCAACTGCAATGAAAATGGATTTACTAAAAATAGTTTTGCACCACAGAAGAGATTATGAAAGCAAGGAACTGAAGGAAAATTAATTCTAAAAACGTAATGAAGAATTTAAGGAGAAGCCTGAATTTGTTTTTATTCCTGAGAATAACATCACTGAAGAGAGAGGCATGATGAAACCTCCATCCTTCAACCTCCAATGGTGAAAATCCATCACAAGAAACTGTTCTCTGCTGCAGAGAGTTTAAGAAACACATAACTGCAGTTGGGCACTTAGTTGTATTTCAAGCAATGCATAGTTTGATAAGATAGTAGGGGCCCTTTACATAAAAGGTAACTGAATCAGAAAAAACAGAGGTATAAAAATTGATTAAATTAAAAAAAACTAAACACGCATGCATTGTATTTAAACCTTTAAATCTATTTAAACCTTCTGCAAAAGAAATACCAGCACACAGTGTTTCTATACTGTAAGTGCAATACACATGTTAACCTATCTTTTCCATTTGCAAGAATTTTTAAGTGGTTATAAAATAAGATGTACCAACTGCTACTGGAGTCTAAATAATGTGATGTTGCAATTCACTGACTTCTACATGAATCACCACAGATTAAGTTAGTTTAACAATATTGTAGCATTTGTCTTCCTTATGTTTTTGCATGTCTTTTGGTCTGACAACTCTCAGTTAACAGTGGGTTATCAACGCTGGCTGTAAGGACCATTACAACTACCAGCTCATTTCCACTGATTGTTGGGGAAGGAAGAGGATGCTAAATCTCTGAAGTTTATACAGAACCATGCTAGTTTTCATAACATTCCAGGAACTGAAGGCTTAAAGTCAGAGAAGAACTTTTAGGGAAAAAAACAAGGGACAGAAAGAGAAGATTCACTGCAGAACAATTTATATTTTCATAGTTAGAAAGTTCCTGCTTGGCTTGGTTGCAAACAGTCTTCACTAAGAGGCTACTTAAATAATAAGGGCTCTGAATATTTCTTGCTGAAGATCACACTTTCTATCAATAATTACACCTTGTCTGAAGCAGTTATTTGAACTGATCATCTGAAAGAGCTTCTGCTCTTCTCTGACATCTCTGCTGATGGCTGAAGAAGTCATTGATCCAAATTCTAATTAGTACAGCACAACAGGCCAAAGTGTAAACTCTAAATAGTAGGCTATTGTCTTTTGTTTAAGGTAGTGTTGCCTTGTGATAAAGAAAGTCTTGTGTTCATCCAAATGTGAAAAGGAATATTCTGGAAATCACAATGCTTTCTACAAAGTTTGACTCAAAATTTGGTAGGCAAAGAGTTGCCCATGTTACTTTTATCTATATTGTGTAAACAGGAAAAACAGCAGGATGCTATGAAAGTGCTGGACTCAGGAATTGAGATAAATGCATCAGTGTGTTCATTCCCATTTGGGTTTTACTCATGAATATATCTAGAAAGACACTAGTTATTTTAATACCAAACAAGATGAAAGGCTTCTTGATCACAATCCTAAGTATTGTACTAGAAGACCTTGATCTGTAAAGGAGGTAAAGGAGTAAACCAATTGCTCAGAAATAGGCAGGACACTTGCGGTACCTCTATCACCACGGTTCTCAAAAAGAGTAGAAATGGGAATCCCAGGACCTGTTGAAAGAATGATAAAAAGTCACTTTACAGTTTGAAGCTGGAATTAGGTGATGCAGTGTGTATTACATTAACATTGATAACCGGCAGGAGTTAAAGAGCTCAAAGCTGATGCAAAAATCTGAATCTTCTCTGCTGTATAAGTCACTATCCCTGCTACAATACATAAGGTTCTGTGTGTACAAAGACTTGGCATTGCTCAGCAAATGTAATAGAAGCAACTTTAAATCTACTAACGCTTCGTCCCTAGAGATGGAGTGACATCTAGTTAATACCTGAGATGTGATTACATAAGGTGAATGCAAAACTAACAATGTGAAACATTCTTCTGAGAACATGTCACATTGGATTTGTGAAGGTGAGTGCCTTTCACATGGTGATGACCTTACTGACTATTTTGTGCAAGAATGATTGAAAGGTGTTGTTATTTGCTACATTTGGTTCTCTCCTCCACAGAAGTTCTAAGGAACTTTTCAGCTGATCAGTCGGTGCAGAATCACAAGAATAGTAAACTTTATAAGAAGTACACAAAAGGAAAACCTTGGATCCTTTTCCTCTTTTTTTTAGATTGTGATGTCACTGATTTTTGAGTACAGCAGTGGATGAAACCTCAGATCACTGAAATCACCTCATTTATTACAAAAGAGCTAAGACTTCCTTTAATACTTGTGTCTTGCAAGCGGATTCAATGATCACGTCTTGAACTGAATTTTTCTTAGATCATTTATTAAAAATGTCCTCAGGTGCTAAACAGCCAACATTTATGGCTGACACAGGTCTTTATTTCAACTGGGAAACAAAGTAAAGTAGTTTCTCACAGCTAACTTTGGTCACATAAACTGAGAAACAGTATATGTTTCTAAATCCTGCTCTGGCTGCTGCAAGAAAAAACATGGCTTTCATGAGCTGGATTAAAATCTGTTTTGTGACATGAAGGACATTCACTAATTCATTTTAAATTCTCAAAATCCCAAGTTTTTTTTTTTTTTTTTTTTTTTTAAAAAGTGAAAAAAAAAATCCTGAATATATCTGTATTTACTGAAACATCACAACATTTTTGAACATGGGAAGTCGCTTTTTGGAAATCTTTCCTGGTTATTGTGAAATTTCTGTGAGTCATACAAAAATCATTTGGGTAATCAGCATTAACTACAACGCTGATAAATTCCAAAGAACAACTGATTATATGTTCAGTCCCATGCCATACATACCATAACAGATCAAGGCATAATACTTTGAATGTTCACTGAATCTTGCTGTATAATACTGACATCTCTCTTTCCTTAAATTGCAAGTAATGCATTGTTTTCTCATAGGTTTACTTCCAATGCTGATTCTAAGAGAAAAATCAACAAAACAATCATTATTTTGCTAAAATTAACTTTATATTTGTCTGTCTCATATTCTTGGATGCAAGCCCTGTACTTTCAGAACAGCTAATTTAAAAATAAATGCTTGGTTTTTTTAATCAATTTTCCCTCAAGAGTATATTTAAATGTTAGATGGCACTTCTCTCCATTGTCAGATAGAATCTGAGGTTAAGATTTAGTTAAAATAGCTTGTGAAATTACACATTAAACATCTTGAAATGAAATTGTTTTATTGACAAGTCCAGAGACATCTTCTAATAACCTACTATCATTAAGATAATGTTAATAAAACTTACTTGTAAATATTCCTTCTTCCAGGATAGCCTTCAAATTCATTGCTTGAATAAAAACTGCAAATTCATTTATATGTTAATAAATAATCCATAAAGTGATGACCTATGAATGAGCATCAAGATGAAAAGCTGTCTTGGAAGTTAATTAAGACTTTTTGAGATTTCTGCATGCGATGGAAGAATAGTTAAGCTTATATACCTTTCATCTTAATAAATCTTTGCTCAGACTAAGATTAAGTGACACATAAGCCATATAAATAGGACTTCTATCTTAATTCTCATGAGCTAATCTCTCCAATTATTTAAGCTGCCTCTATCTATACAGTAATGAGAGATCATAAAAAGAGAAGTAACTGCAAATTGTGTGAGGGTTAGCCACATGATTAAGTTAGTGTTTTTAAATAAGCCTCTCTAAGATGGGTGATGAAAATAAATAGAAAATTGAGGGCCATTTGCAAAGAATCTTTCATAAGTAAATAATTTTTACAAACCTATGCAGTACCTTAGCATACAAATTTGTTGTGGATGCATTCAGATAAAAAACAAATTACACCTAATTATAATCTGACAAGTTAACAAATGGTGTTCAAATTATTAAGTGTTGCTTTTACTGATAACATTCCCAACCTTTTTACTTCATGACACTTACATTGCATCATTTGTTACTCTGAAAATGTATATTGCCTCCCATTCTCCACTTGTAACTTGGATTGCATTCTCCTGTGTAGGGAGACATTTAAGTTACTGAATATTGTAGAATTCCTTCAGGACAGTAGATCAATATAGAACACTTGGCTTGACTTACCACAGAGCCATTGATGTAATGAATATGCTTATAACCATTTTTGTCACTAAAAATTTTGTAGTATGAACTGCTGTCTGATGTAAAATACGGTGCAGAAACAAAGAACTGAAACAATGGAAGAAAAACAGCAGATGAGACATAAGGCTGTCCAAACTGTTTAGCAGATTATACCTCACATTACTAAAAGTAACAAGACCATTTAATCAGTTCAAATGGGACAAACTACTTTGCACAGGTTTGTACCTGTGATATTCAATCTTCCCATGATCACGTTTTTCTTTAATTTAGGATTTCTTAAATCTATAATATAGATACCACAAGAACACCATAAATATGAGCTCTCTACTTGTAAGTGGAATAATTTGTATATTCTCAATGACCTTTCTTTAGTTATTTAAAAACAGGCAGAAATTATTTTTAATAAGAAACTTTCTGAATAATGCTGATGTCCATGCAAGGTGCCAGACTGAGTATCCTGTGGACCTCAGTTTGTCTGCTTCACTGAGCAAGCACACCATCAAAGAAATGGATATCTGAAGTTTCCCATATTATTCCACTAATTTTAAAGAACAGATTATTCCAGATAAGTTCATTCAACTTTTACTTCCTTTTAAAGAATCACATCTTTACTAAAATTGTCAGTCAAGGTTGAATTACTGCAACTCTAAGTTTTGTTTTCAAAACATAAAGATATGAAGATATAGGAATGACTTGCAAGCACTTCAAACATAGTCAAACATTCCTGAGTGAGTATACCTTTTGAATAATATTAACTCAAGCTCAACTAGGACTTGTGATCACAAGTTAAATTCCCCTGCAGACTGTATCTGTGATTCCTAATACTTGAAAGCCTATAAAGGCAAAATCTGGGATTTATGCATGTGTGCAAATTCTTTAGCTCTAATAAAAATGTGTCATCAGAACTTCAAGTGTCAAAAAAAACCAAAGGACCAAGTAAAATAACTAATTCTTGTAAACATATGATCTTCTCATTAAACATCTCTTAAGGGACAGTGCACTGAAAATTGAATCTCATTGTTAAGTCCACTACAGGACATTCAGGCAGTGTGAGGTTCACACACTTGATTCTGTTAACTTCCCCTGCCTGAAAGTAAATATAAGCAACACTACATATTCACTGTTGGAATACAGTCTGTATGACTGTAAATACTGATCTCATGATCTTACAACTTCCTTGCAGGTTTGTTTTTACTGCAAGTTGCTGAAGGCATATGGTTGTCCAGGGTTACTGGGCAGAGAAAACATGTTTTGCTAAGAGGTAACTCCAAAGAAATATCACCTACCATTCTAAGGAGCGTATCTTACCTTGAAGGTTCCCCCTTAGCTGAAGATGTGCACACACCTGGCACTAAAACTGTTCTGAGTGGAAGGCTTTTATTCTAAAGATTTTAGATAGCCCATTTTATCCCTTGTCCTAATGCCACCAGAGGAATTTTACATCTATTCTTAGGCTCCAGAATGCTTCTAAGGATTACACTGCACTGTAAATCCACCTCTTTTCATTAATTTCCTCCCTTCATTAAATTCTGTCTCAACCAACTTTCCTGTCTAGTCAGTTGGTCAGGACAGAAATAGGTTTTTAAATTTAGAAAGCAGATAGCCAGATACTTCGTCTAGCAGAGCATTAAAAGCTTCCGTCCTACAGCGCAACAAGTCTAAGCAGTAGTGCCTCAGAAGGCTGCTTCATGTTTCAAAACACTGATGGCAAGATACAGGAAGCTGTATCTTCTAACTGAATTAAAATAGAGTGCAAGAAGAAAACCTACTCCGCCCGCCCATCCTGTTTGACTCTCTTCTATGTGCTGTTGATTCTGAAAAACAAAAGCAACATTACACTCTTTAAGAAGATTGAGTTTAAGGAGATTGGAAATCTTCAAATAAATCAGTAGCTGCCTGTAAAAGGGAATTTTAGAATATTTGCTATGAAGGTTCAGGCAGTTGGAGGTTGTCTATGTGAATAGTTTTGCTGTATTAAGGTCATTATGTTAATTAAACTATTGTTTTTAACAGCTGACATCAGACCTAAATAAAATTTAAAGCAATTATGCAACTTTTTCACTGAAAACAAGAATGAACAACTACTTGATCTCATTAATTTTTTGGCAAAAATCCAAGTAAAATAGTATCAGGAATATTAATACTAAAAATTTGGTTTAGATTTTCAGCTTGTTTGTATTTTCTTTGATTTCAAAGTTGAGATGTTGATTTAGAGCAGTGGTGATGTGACTATTAGGCATTCTGAGACTAGAATATAAATTTAGAACATCTTAACTCCTTGTTCTTAGAGCTGATTTGGAAACAGACTTATACTGAGCATGAATGATGCAGCTAAAGGTGCTTTTATATTTGTACTTATGTTTTGCTTGTAAAGTTTCTAGTGATATATTTAAAAATCTGCATTCAATCAATGTATTTCTTTTTTATCTTGCAAACTTTTCTTTATACTCTACATTCAATATAGTATTTCTTCACAGTTTGAAACAAATTTAACAAATTTGCTTTTCAAGGAATATGATTTGTATTTCTTACCCTCAACATAATCTCACTACTTTTTAAAATCATGTGTTCTCCCTTCTAATTTATTCCCCACAAAGTAACTTGAGGAAAAGTTGCAGGTCTTTGCCCCTTAGAAGACTAGCACTTTGCAAGGGCTCCACTGAGTTACTAACTGAAAAGACAGATTTTATTTCTTTTTAAGATGATAAAAATGGGATGTATTGTTTTATATCTGCATCCTAACATTATTTTCCATTCTCTCATTTGAGTAGCCCCCATTTCACAAAGACATGCCTACCTTTTACTCACATGAATAGTTCCACTGCTCATATTGGTTTCTGTGGTCTAGTCACATGAGAAAGAGTTGAACATGTGAACATTTCTGATGAATCCGTACTTTGGGAACATCTTGTAGATTATATTTTGTTATTATTTTCAGATACATAAAACATGTACAAGCTTATTGTACATTAGAGACTCAATGCAATCTGAATTCAACAAGAGAACTATTTTTGCCAAAGGAAATGTTCAGAGATATACTTTCTGATGGCAAATAGAGCTAATGCAGCAGTCCCATCTGTTCACACTCCTTCGATTGGCCATTTGTGCAAACTTTAATGTGATAAAAGCATTGTATCACTGTTTAAATATAGAATTATAGAAACGTCAGTAGTGACTCCATAAATAAGGTTTCATAGAGAAATGCAATTAAACAAGGATCATGAACAAAGTCCTGAAAGATGTTAATTGGTCTGGTCTGGTCTGGTTCCAGCAAAGCAATTAAGCACATGCTTAATTTTAAACACATAAACAGATCTGCTGAAGTAAATAAAACCAGCTACGTGCAAAAAGTTAAGCTTGCGTTAAAGTACTTCGCTGGATTGTGGTAGAATCCTAGAAACCTTATATCTTTTTTCTTTCTATTTAAATATGTAATTATTAAAATATAGCTTACTGGCAGGCAAGGTAGAGATTCATTCAGTGTTAATGAACCTATAAAATGGAACAATTACTTAGGAAATATAGCAAATGCTGCATGAAACATGGCTTATTCCTACTAAATTACAGTATTTCTCTGTGGACTACTACTTCAATGACAATGTTTTTGAAGTAACAGGACCTTAAATTCCCTTTAAATTTGCAACAGTTATCATGTCAAAGAGGAGTAAAAATTATTTTCAACTTGAAAAGACTGTGTCAATAAACACTGAATTTATAATTTATCAGTTATACAAAATGCTTTAATAAATATTCTTGCCTTTTATTTCCAATTAGTTCAAGGTTTCATCTAATTTTAGCTTTAATAGGTGTACCATGAACCCTAAGAACAAGACAAGCCAAAAGCACCGATACTAAAAGACAACAAATGAGATCTCTATACTAGAGTTACTGAAATTCAGAGTTGTCTTTCCTTCAGGATCTATATAAATTTATCTGTGTGTACACTTCTCAGGCTTTACAAAGCTCTGCTCTGTTCAGCAGAGCATAGTTTTCTTTCCAACTGACTAAATCACAGAATGACATATTGAAACCAAATGTAGTTACTGTTGCAATTAGCCTGAAGTTTTCTTTTTTGGATCTGATTGTTTTTCCTAAAACTTGCTTACTGTCTAGAACTGTATGATTTGATAAAACAGAAGACTTTCTTCTTCCAGAAAACCTGCCTTACAATTAATGTGTATGTTCTTTCAAATAATCTAACATTAATCTAAAAGAACATGATTTAGTCAGACTTAGTATGGAATTTCAACACGGCATAATAAGATTTTCTTTAAAAAAATACAGATCCTATATGGTTTTACTTTTGAAGATGCTTACACAAGAAGGAAATAAAAAACATTACTGAAAGCCTCTCAAGAGCATTTTAGGTGGTTGTTTTTGTTTTGTTTTTATTTAAGTTTCACAAAGAAAAAATGCTGTGCTTTTATTTCCTGGAGTAATTAGTATTTTTCACCCCTCTTCCAGCAATTAAAATATTAAAAAATGTATCACTATAGTAAAATATTATTGTGATAAAACACTGAAAAATATAATTAGGGCAGGGATTAAAAAATTCTAATTTCAGATTAGTAAAATTCAGTAATTTTAGATTTATATTTCAAACTTCATTACCTCTGGACAGTCCCAAGTATTTGAATGCTCTTTGAAGTCACAAATAGCCAAGACTGAAAAATTCTGTATTCTCTTCAGCCACTGCACACAGATTCGAGTATCTGTTACCCAAGTAAGCCAAGTAAAATAGTGATCACTAAAATATAAAAAAAATTAAAAAGGAAGAAATGGCAGTTATTAAACAACAGGAGTATAGAAGCATTGCTAAAGATTGCATTCCCCACATTTCTCTCTGAAAAACAACAGCAAAGCTTTCACTGTTTTAGGGTACTTTTTTATCCTCTGTAACAATGTATCATATGGACAGCCGAAAGAAAAATGCAATATTTCTAGTTAGCTTCTGATCCTTCTAGGGGTTTAATATGGCAGTACACTGTTAGATAAAGTACAACTCAGAGGTTCAAGCATTTAAAACAAATAGACAAAACCTTTTTTTTTAACCAAGAAAAGACATATTTGAGGGCACACTACCTGGATGCTATGATTGCAGGAACTGGCACCTCCTTAGGACCAAATGCTTCAGAGTTAATAGTGTCTACAATAAACACTTTAACAGTAGGATTTTTAGCTCCAGCCTTCAAAGAAAATGTTTTAGGTTATTAAAACCAGGCTCTGAATAATTCAAATTGAGGAAAATCAAAACACTTTTTGCAGGAAAGTATACAGGTAACAAAATATGAATTCAGTTGAGTATATAAGAGCAAATAGTCTCATAAGATGTAAGAGTGATAGTGCAGCAGTAGTACATACTTAGTTTTCTATCATTTATATTTCTATATATAAAGAAGAAAACCTTTTAAACATTTGAGTTTAGTGCCTTTCTCTACAGAAAATGTGCTTGGTGGTAACGATTGTTCTGTTTGCAGTGGGGGCCCTTGCAGCACACATTACACTGACTTCAGAATAAAACTCCAGTTTATTCACATGATTGCAAGGGCTGTTTGACATCCCAACTGGGAAATGGTTGCTTAAACTGATTTCATGGTTGCTTCTTCACTGCATACATTATCAGTTTTTTAATTCTTCTCCACGTGTGGCCTAAACCACCCAGTTTTACTTTAGAACTGTGAGCCAGCTGACAGGTGAGCAAATTCTTTAAATACATTAGCATGATCCCTTGCAATCATATGAACATGATAAGAGTCAGGAGAGCTTTCTAATGCATGCTGAAGAAATGCCAACCCAAAACCTTATTGCCTTAGATCTCACACTTGAAAGCAATTAAAATCCAAAGCCCCTTCAGATCAAAAAGCACTATGAAGTGTGCAAATAAAGTGAAGACTTTATTTTAAAAAATATATATAAAAAACACCTTAGTCTCATAATTTATTTACCATAATGAAAAATAACAACTGCATCATTTACACACCAGAATAAGTAAACTGAATTGAAAAAATATTGAGTACTTTTGCACATGCTCTTTACCTACATGAGTAATTACATTTATTTCACTGATATTATATTTAAAATATATAAAATACAAAATATATTTTAATATTATATTTAAAATTGTGTATGTACCTACAGCTGTTCTGAGCTTAGACCAAGCTTGTTTTCTTTTATTTAAGTCACAATGGATTGAACCATGGTAATACTTAAGGAATTAAGCACAGTTAATTTTCTCATTGTCATAACTAATTTCTCAACAGAAAAGAAGTCAAAAGAATGATAAAACATACCTTTGGGTAAGGGATGGTTATTTTTCTAGGATACTGGTCCTCACCAAAATATGAATATTCAATAACTGGTATGTCAGAATCATTAAATTGTACATATGCTAAATATCTTCCACTTGGAGACCACCACAGTGCATATTTTGTTGCTAGCATCTCCTCTGAGGAAAAAAAAAAATTGTTTATAACTGTAATCTACCTTCCAATCTGTTTTAGCACTCTACTCAGCACACATAAGGACAGTTACACTAAATAAATAACATCAAACATCTCCAAACATGCACACAGATCCCACTTAATTCACTTGGGATTTTCCTGTGTGCATGTTTTTTTTTTATTTTTTTTTGGATGCACTGAAGTGCCAAATTTTCACTGAAATTAAAACTTTAAATCCTAAATCCCAGCCTCTGCCTTTGCATCAGAAAGAAGACAACTTTGCAGAGGTCTGATACAGTTTCAGACTCAGGATTTTGGTTATGTGTTACAAATACAAAATTCATACCTTGTACAGTAAATACAATATGGAAAAAAGAAGTAATCCTTAGGGCTGAAAAAAAAGAGTGTCATCACAGACATTTTAAATGGATTGTGAAAACCAGAACCAATCTAAACAAAGCATTTATCATGTTGCCGCCCTTCAAGATTTACTTACCTTCATAGACCCAGTCAGGAATCCCATTAAATATTTCATTCTGTTTTCCATCACTAGTTATTTTAACTGGTGCCTCTCTAGGACTTGGTTTCAAATAGATATTATTCTGATAAACATATACCTAAAGACAAGAAAGTTTTTTTTAAGAGTACAGGCAACAGGATTAGAGCAAGATCTTCTGCAGTCAATACTCCTACATTACACTAGCAAGACTTAATGAATACAAAATGGGAAATGGTACACTAATAGCCCTTGTAAATTCTGCAAGAGCTGGTACCTCACAAATAAATTATACATTGCAGGCCAAGGTCTGTGTTCAGTAAAAATTTTAGAACAGATTTTAGATCCTGTATCTGTAAATCTCCATTTTAAATTCACTTGTTACACAGCATCAGAGGGAAACCAATTGGTTTTCAGGCCTTGAAACCGCATTAAATCTTATATAAAAATTATGTTGATCAATTCTGGATAAAGACTGGTGAGCAAACTGGAATACATAATGTACCTGAGAACATGGATTATTCTTCTCTTGAGACACAGACAGTAAAATCTGAACAAGTTAAAACTGTTTTCTTTGTCATAACCAAGATTAATAAACAGGCCTGTCAAAAATATGGCCTAATATAAAAAAAAAACAAAAACAACCAAACAACCAAAGATAAATGTCTTTAAGCCATACAAAGTAAATTCATTCTAGGACTTAATTATCTTTACTAACCAATTTGTGTCCAACGGGTGACCAGGATATATACTGAATTTTATGTGGAAGCTGATTTTCTGTTACAAAACCACTAAAAAAAGGAAAGAAGTTGAAATGGCTTTTCGTGCACAGTGCAAATGGATCATTATACTGTACATTAATAAAAAAGTCACAAAATCATTTTCTAACTGCTTATTGTTTCTCGAGCAATGCACAATAAGGCAGGCAGAGACATGCAGTTAACAGGATGGCATGCACCAGTGCTGGCAAAGGCTTAAACTTACTCCTTTGAACACCTATTCAACCGCCTAAGGAGCCAGCCTTATCTGTTCCCAACTGCTGCACAAGCACCTGCAGTCATTTGCTGTAGCTGCAGTCTGTGTTACAGTCTCAGCAGGTTATTGGGAAATGTGAACTCAGCATGCACTGAGGCAGGTGCGGCAGCAGCACCTCCAGCATTGGGTGAGGATCCCAGCTCCCATGCAGTGTCTCTCTACTCACAGCAGCTTGCACCAACTTCTTCCTGGCACCTTGAGCCAGCAGTTGCCCAAGAATGATGCAGCTCAGTGCAGTCCCTGTTGCTCAGAACTAAGCACATTTGGTCACACTGCTGCTTTCAGCATAAAAAGGGATTGCAGAGGCAGATGGCCTCCTTTGGATTTGGTTTGGGCAATCTTGGGAAAGGGACCAAATGCCATGGGACAAGCTATAGCCCTTTAAGGAATGCAGGGTTGGCTGTTAAAAGAGTTTTAGGGACGCTGAGGATTAGATCAATGATAAAAAGAATGAATTTTTAGAAGGGGATGGGGACCAAAGGGAATATTGAGCAGTGAAAGTTTTAGGGCATGAAATAGAAATCAATCCAGATGAAAAGAATGTATGGTTTTTCCTAGAAAACATTTTCTTTCTCAAGCAAACAGGTAGCCTGACAGATTTAGGCAAAAGCAAAGCAAGTTGGTAGTTCATTACTACAGTTTTGGAGTGAATGCTTGCAAGCACATCACCACAGTGTATGCACCACAGCTTTCTGTAAGAAATATCAGGCCTTACCCATTTATGAGATCATAAATGTGATATGATGCTGTATAAGAGTATCTCCACAGCTGCATAAATGAATAAAGATAATATTATTAACCTTGAAAAAGATAATCTAATTACAAATAATCAGCTGCCTCTTCACAGCCTATCCCTTTCTCAAGAAAGTACCAAGAAACATTTATCTATGGTAAACGCAATTAACAAAATGCTACATAAAATTAAACATTACATTAAGAGGTAAATTAAAATAATTACCTTTGAATAATTGCTTTCCAGGGCTATGAAAGATTTGTCTGATGACATCACATAATTTGAAGCATTAACTTGTTTCTGAAAAATTAAGAAGCAGATTATATTCTAGTCTTACTCACTTTTAAACTGTAACTTGAAATACAGCAGCACTTTTTGCTTTTTTATTAATGAGAAACGTACATACCATTGTGCTGTTTGTCAGGATGGTGGTTGCGTAGTTAATTTCAACATTGTAAAGGATAATATCATCCTCTGCAGACTGATGAAGATATTCATTATCTTCATAAACAAGATAAATGATTGTTACCTTCACAGAAGATACTACACAACATATCTTTTTATCAACAAATTCACACTTCTTTCAAAGAATAGGTTTTAAGCAAATATCTTTTGGCATCTACATAAATGTGTTCCTTCTAATGAATCTGAGATACAGAGTAACCAAGAAACCATCTTCAGGGTTCTTGAGTACATTCTTGAGACTATACACTGCACATAAGATCAACTATTTAACTTCACAAGTAAATGCCAAGAATGCCAGTGACAGACCCATTAGAAAGTCAGTATCAAAATGTAAATGTTTTAAAGAAAAATATCTTTGCTTATCATTTTACCAGAACACTCTCATTTGTATATTCTGCAGATAAAAGCAGTACCACACAACTGACACTGCATGATTCCGTCCTTACTTACAAGAGTCCTACGAAATAAAGTGAGTGGGCTTCATTGAAAATAGAATTTACCCTGCCTTTGCTCAAGATCTGAGCTACAGTTTGGTAGAGATAAAGACCAGATTTTTAGTTTCAGATTATTATTTTCACTGCTATAAACAGAGAGAATGAATTTCATATTTGGTGTAGCTAGAAAGCAAGACTAAAAGTTAAATAGGAGCCTGAAACATTGTGAAGATGTTCATTTTTAGGAAATTAGATCACCCTTGAATCTTCTGAGCACTCTTGTGTGATTTTTGTAACAGTATTTGTGTTTAAAATCATCCTTAGGATAAGATATACAATTTTGACTCCTTGTTTCAGAAGAGAAGCAGACATATGGAATGCTGTAGGCATGGCTATCTATGGAATCTATGGCATGACTTTTGTGTGAGTTTGTGACTGTTAAAAGGAAAGATAAGTCTAAGTGAGAAAGCTATAAAGAGAGAAGAAGAATATTAGGTTTAGGTGATATGCTGCCTACATTCTTCAGACATTCAGACAGAATTCTAACAAAGTGACCTAATTTTTAAATCATACAAGCGATATCTACATACTTCAAACTGCTCATCGTAAAATTGAACCACTCAAGCAATGCCTCACTCATAAGGCTTTACTTCAGTTCTAAAATTGTGGGCTAAAACCAGCTTGGTGAGACTCCATGTGAATGGGCACTACGCTTGCTGCTACTGGCAGAGAGCAGTGCTGGAGGCAGCACAGGGATGGGGGCAGCATGTGTGCTAGAATGTAACCAGGCTAGCTCCAGTCTCCCTGGGCTGTGCAGTGCAATGATAACAGGAGCAGCACTTCAGCCACACACAGACACATTTATATCAGCAGCAATCAACTTCACGTCTCCACCTTAAGGAACTTAGAAAGTCAGCTTTCTTTTCTATGCAATATCCTGGAACTCAGGAATTTCAGCAGTGTCAGCACTTCCTTAAATGAAATTAGAACAGCTGGCCTCATTGCCGAGCCAGGTACTACTGAAAACAAAGAACAGGACCTGTAAGACAGACTACCTCAATCATTACAAGTGGTAACTCAAAAAGTGCTGTGAAAAGCATGAAAAGAAGATTGCTTAAGGAATGACTGACACATTGACAAATTTCTTTCACTTGCTGTAGTGAATATGACAGTAAAAGAAATAAAACACTGAAGGCCTCTATAAAATTATAGTTTATACTTGACTCAGACATGTCTGTTGAAACATCAAATACCTGGATTTTCTAGAATGACTGACAGAACAGTAAATTTCAACCATAAGTTTTGACTAACACATTGTTTAATTTCATAGTTAGCATTCATTCAAAGTAAAGCTGGAAGGAAAATACATTTCTCAGTCTGTGTAAACCAGTCTGGAAATACATATTAGAAAGGCTTATCTATGTTTGAGAAAAGGTTTTACTTACCTGACACCCAATATGGAAAAAATGTTTTATATTGGAAGTTTCCATTCAAATAATCTTCCAAGGTAAGAGCTCTAGGACCATCATCTGTGTTGACAACTAAGCATAAGACAAATATTTTCTGTTAATGGCAAGAGGGAAAAAAAAATTATAGTAGAGTGTTTTGTTTTTTCTTCATTTAGTGCCATGCAACAGTGAGTTTAGTACCATACTCCTGGAGATATGCAAATCGTGGGTGCAGCAGAAAGGGAAGATCCCTGTTGCTGTTCTGATAAATTCCTTTAGTCTCTGAAAGACTCATCTTTGGGAATGCAAAATTAACTAGACAAAATAATTTATTTCAACCATTTATTCATGCAGACACATTTACCTGAAGACACTGTGAGTCCAAATAAGCCTTTTCCACACAAAAGACAAACGTTGCTTGGGTTTTTAATTTTTTTTTTTTAAGCATGGGTTTCATGAACTTGTAGAGGCAACTATTTTAATCGGGACCTTCACACGTCCAGCAAATGGTCAAACAACAGGATGCAAACCCTAACCTCCAAATTTTGTACATGCTTCATTAACCACTGTTAGAAGATAGCTTGCAAAATAATCACCATCCACATATATTTCTTAGTAGTCACATGAAAAACTTTGATGAAGGAATCCAGATAAAAAGTAATTCTGAAAAGTAATGATTGAGTGAACCCAAACTTGAACTTTTATTTAATGCTGCAAAAGAAATGATTCTCGTAAGAAGACAATGATTCTCGTAAGAAGACAATGATTCTCATAAGAAGAGAGGTACTCAAATATTTGATTTCTAAGCAAGTCAGATAACTTTATTAAAATAATGCAAGTGGAGGCTGGTTTCCTGGATCTTGTCTGGCTATATTTTTCCCCAAAGCTAAACAACTTAAGTTAGGGCAGATTGTAAAAAAAATTTCAAGGTCAATCAACTGGATAAGAAGAGGATTATGCTGTACAGTTCCTGTGTAGAACCTATGCAATTCACAAGAGTGAGAATAATCAAAATATTTAATCCTCAAAAGACACATGAATTGTTCTGATGAAGGCCAATTTTTAAAGTTCACCAGCATAATGATGGCAGCTTTCAGGTCTTGGCATTCTGGATGCTATGCTTTCTCCTTTAAAATCAAAGGGTCTTCTGCTAGGGTATTCAGAGGTAGTGGAGATGTCACACTGCAGCTTAGTAGATCTTTGCCACTTCCCCTGTTTGTTCCTTCGGAGCTCTCAGATGACAGTCAGATAATCAAGATGACTCGTTGCTCTCAGGTTTCATATCATGCTCCATCACTTGCTCATTAGTTGCCCTCTCTGTTAAGATCACACTGACTTCCTGGGAAATGTTTCTTCATATTGCCTTCTATGGTGCTTTGTAATGATAACACATATTTTCTTCTGCTAAGTGACTATTATTCACTGTAGAATACACATGTCAGGTTGACTGTTGACACAAGCCTTGTCTGCACTAATGCAGAAGAAAGCTGTCACAAGGAATAAAACTGAATGCCAATCCAGAGGCAAAAACCTGTCCCTATAAACTCTGAGCTGGCAATACGTCCAGAAAATATCCCAAGAAGTTCAATAAGAAGTTAATCCCTCTTGCTAATACTATGACTGCATATTACAGATCTTTGATACATTAATGATAAACATAGAAGATGGCAGACTTAAAAAAAATGCTCAGAAGATAATTCCAAAGAATCCAGTTCTAGTTATGTTGAATGATGATTACTTAGCACTATCTCTCAGTTAAAATTCTCTAAGTGAAGAAGCTTATTAGCAAAATAAATCAGGATCTATTTCCAAGGTTGTTTGTATAGAAAGCTTAAAATTTGCAGTCCTTTTTGATACCTTAATCTGGTAAAATTACCTGGTTTCTTCTCTCATCTTAAGAGACAAGCAGTATCGCAAACTTCCATCACTGGTCTAATTTTCACAGCTCTAATTCAAACCTTACCTGTGTTAGATATTTCACCCTCACATACTTAATATTCTATGAGGATTTATTATGACTGCTGATTTTCAAAATGGGCCCACTAAGATCTGAACTTCTACCACTGTACTGCCAAAAAATTTAAAAACAACTATTTCTCACTTGAGTACTTACAATTTTGATTGCTTGTTTTTAGGTAACAGCTTCGTTTGTATTGCCAGGATTATTCTGTTTCAAAGACTGGATACGGGGAAACCAACACCACCCTTAATATCTCAAAGCTCTCCTGGTTTATGGCTTATTCCACATGTTCTAATGTGCATCCTTATAAATTGTATCTAGTCTTGCCAAATTACAGTAAGCATACATAATAATCAGAAGGTATTGTTGTTTCTGTATATGGTTATTTTTATAGGTATATATATATATATATATATATATATATATATGTATGCATTTTATATGTATTTAGCATATATGTATTTATATAAATATTTTATTTAGCATCCACTGCCAAACATCAAGTAGATGACATGACAAAGGAAAACTGGTTAGCACAGTGTTATTGTCTGCTTCTGGACTAGAATTTCCATTCTCATCTCTGTGGGCTGATGCTGAATAGCTGAAGCACAAGCTCCTCCAAAATGAGGAAACATAAAACTCAGTTTAGCACCAGAAATTAATTCCAATACTCCTGATCCTACTCCAAAACTTTGGTCACACTCAGCATCAACTCACATCAACTGAACCTGCTTTTCCACTTTGGATTTGGCTGAGGTGTTGCAGAGAACACAACCTCTTCATAAGAAACTGGCTGTTCACCACTTTGTGGCTTAGCAGTAAGCTCTATGACCTCACCTGTGACATCAGAGAAACGGGGATTGGGCCTCAGGCCTAGGCCAAGAGTACACAGGGAACAGAAACTTTGACAGACATGACTTTGGACATGCATTAAAAATAGCAGAAGAGATTTATTCAAAGTCTAAGCAATACATACAGTGAATTGTAACCCTGTGGTTCCACTATTGCTTCTCAACTGCAGACAGGTATTTTCTTTCTTTATGCTGCAGAAGAAGAGGACTAGGTACACCAGTGTACAAGTGAAAAGCTCCTTTCTGAACCATTTGGAGTTGCAGTATCACAGCTGGGTTATCACTGTCAGGTAAATCCCACCACATATTCCTACCTCAAAGATGTGTCAAAAAACGGTCAGTGATTTCTTAGGCATGGATGCTATTTGCTACACTGATATTGTCCACCTTGCTCTTTTGAGCCCCACAGAAATTGTCTAATACTTGCAGTTGCAAGTATTTGCCTCTTAATATCCTCTCAAAAAATTATTTTCCTGTTAACTTTTGAGAATTTTTTGACATTTTTATACACTTGCATGTGTAAATCCAAACCACCTACCACATTTTGAGAAGTCTGAAGAACATGAAATGACTAGAAACTTAGCAGACAAAACCAGAACTAAATGCTCGTCCATTTTTCTTTGCAGATTTCTTAAGTAGAAATTTATTTGGTCTGTGTCTATGCATTTCTTATATGCAATTCATTGTCTTTCTAGATTGCCACATCCTTTCAGCTGAGCAGTGGTAAAGCTGGAATGTACAAACAACATTCCAGCTGTGTAGCCATTTCCTGTCTGTCTCCAGCTCGCAAAATTTGTAACTGCAAAATTAATTTATATTTCTTCTATTAACAACTGATCAGTAGACTACTTGGAATTCAAAAAGGTTAAGGCATTTGAACAGGTAACTGCAGCACTTGCAGTTCCACCTGAGAATAAGAAGCCATAATCTGACACATCCAACATAATTGTCCAACATATGTGTTGGACATATGTTGGACAATTATGTTGGATGTGTCAGATTATGGCTTGTCAATTGTCTAAAATGCTCCCCCAAAAGCATCCTGTGAAGTAAGATAATTTCTTTATCATCCTACTGGATCTAAATATGATGTTTGGTATGACTGGTTATTGGTATGACTAGTGTCAATATTCCAAGAGACACTACAAGAGTTCTCCATAATTGCTGAGGTACTGAAGAGACCAGAGAGCAGTATTTGACAACAAAAAACACACATTCATTTTTTCCTACAGTACCTTCCATCATCTTTATCAACTTCTTCAGGCTGCCAAACTGATCCTTGGTCTCCAATCTCTTTGTTCCCTCATTACTATTTTTTAAATTTAAATCTCATAAAAATATTCTGCCTTCCCTGTCATAAAATGCAGATCTGATGGGAGTAAGTCTGACTTGATACCATGTATTTACCTTGTAGTGAAAGCTCAGATTTGACCACGCTTAGCTAGACAAAAAATCTGGCACCCCACTATTGACACTAAAATTCAAATCTGTCACTCTGAGGTGCTATCTCTTCCAGCACTGCATAGTATATATGCATATCTATATCTATATCTATCTATAGATGTATATAACTGATATGCATCTATTCTCATATTAAAATCCTACATAACAAAATCATCCCTAACTGCTTCAGAAGCCTTCAACCCTTCTCTCAACAGCCCAGGATAAACATTAGCGACAGAAATGTCAGATATGAAAGAGATTTCACTTTTCACAAAACCTGCATATTAACTGCAGGACTTAACTTTCACAAGACTTAAGCAGATGGTTGATTTTATAACATTTAGTTGTAAATACTGTTTCTCCATCTCAGTCCCCCTGCCCACACACATAAAGAAGAATAATAACAGAAAAAATATCCTTTAAATAGATAGTGTTACTGGAATATAAGCCTTTTATTAATATTTTAATTATTTCAGAGGCATTAAAGTAATCTGCTATAGTGATAAGGTCATGTACATACTTCTATTGCTGTTACTATCTTGTCATAGAAAACAATAACCACCAAGTCAGTGCCACTCATGTTCAAAATTTCAAAACTCATTTCAAGCTTCACCAGAGCACTCAGCAGACCACACTGGGTTGATTTACCTACAGCTGGCATTATAATACTAGAGCAAACTATCCATCCCTTTTTTATACAATGCTGACTTTAATTTTCAAATGCAAGCTTGAATATATTCACAAGTAATTCATCATACCCTATCTACAAAAAAAAAAAAAAAAAAGTTTAACTTGTAATTGGATACAGAATTTCTGTAATTATTACACAAGCATTTAAAACCAAATGCAAGTTCACCAAGCTAATGAAAATTACTAACAGTTTGGGAAAGTCTCCTAACCCCTCAAACAGAAAAATAATATGGGAAGATCTGAAAGATATTTTTGCAGCGGTGACTAAGAACATTATATACCATGCACAATGAAGTGAATTCAGGTGCTTTTCACTTCAAGGAGTTCCTTGTTTCAACATCTGCTGGCATTTCAATTCTACCTTCAGGATATTTCAGCTGTCAGTACATTTCTGTAAAGTGATAAAGCCATAACAATTCTGACAGGACAATCCTAAACATGATTTGATAAACTTTTGTGAACTTCAGAAGCCACAATAGCCAAAGATACTGCATTTTACACAACATAAGTTTAGAAATACCTTACCTCTTGATGGTAGCAGTACAATACACATAAGTAATAAGGAAAGCAAAAGACATATAACCACGCCAAATATGATTTTTAGCCGGGTCTGCAGAAGAGAAACAAACAATAATTACATTTTCAATATTGTCTCAAGTTTGTTTCCATGGCTGGTAAATAATGAAATCCTCCTTCCCTCTAACTGCTGTAATCGGTCCTAGCAACAAGCAAAAAACATCCCTGCAGTACATATGAAAAGACTTCCCTTTCCTTCTTTAAAGCAAATATTTTCACATCAGAGCCAGCCTTGTCTAACAGCTGACAGTTTAAAACAAAGGATGTAAATGCTACCAAAAGTTGAATTCAGGAGCATACAGACCTTCATTTTCCTGTTGTATTCTAAAGAATGTGAATTCTCTCTTCTGGGTGTTGGTCAGTAGATCTAGGAGAGGAGTTCGAAAAGGCAGTGTCTGTTTTCACAGTTGGAGGCCAAACCTCTGGCAGACTTTTTTTTTCCTACATACTTTTGGAAACTGTGCCAAATTTCAAAGGCTTTCCATAAAATTGAAACCACACTTTTGGGGAAGTTCTTGGACAAAAAATGGACAGTGGGAGGCTATCGGGGTGGTGATTATGTACTTCCCCTCAATGTGAGCTGTAACCAACATCTGCTTACACTAACTTGAGGTTTTATGACTCATCAGATACTTGACATGCACTGTTTTTCTCTGAAAAGTATCTACTGTGTTTTTTGGCACTCCCCACTTTCTCAGGACATAGTCATGACCGTATTTCCACTCTCTACAGAGAAATTAGAAGAAAATCCCATAGCTTTATTGCTTATGTGGAATTCACATATGTTTACTTTTAGAAATAATAAATGATGGCACAAGAATGCAAAACAAGCAGCAGAAACAGTACTGTTTAATGTCTTCCACATGTGAGAAGAATTGCTGTTTTCCCCTGAAAACTATGCACATCTATAGGCTACGTAGGAGAGCTTACAGAAGTAAATACATACAAGCCCAGCGGAAATTCTGAAATAGTTCTCCAACCGCCAATTACACCTATTTTATTTAGCCCACTGAAATGAGGTCAGCTGAAAACTGGGAAAACTCCGGAGACCGCAGTGTCAGGTTACATAATCCATCCCTCAGGAGAGCGGAAAAAGGCTGGAAAAGGGAAGAACGAGCCCGCCGTGCGCGGCTCCCGACGTTACCCACACGGCGCGGCTGCCGCTGGCCCCGGCCCGGCCCGGCCTGAGGGAGCCGGGCCCGCCCCCGCTGCCCGCCCGACCCGGCCCCGCACCGCGCCCCCTGGCGGCACAGCGCGCACACACACGGCACGGGGACACACACAAAGGGGGACAGGGACACACACACACAGGGGGACAGGGACACACACACACAGGGATAGGGACACGGGGGGACAGGGACATACACACACAGGGACAGGGACACACACACACAGGGGGACAGGGACACACACACACAGGGATAGGGACACGGGGGGACAGGGACATACACACACAGGGACAGGGACACACACGGGGACAGGGACACACACACAGGGACAGGGACACACACGGGGGGACAGGGACACACACGGGGACAGTGACAGGGACACACACACACAGGGATAGGGACACACACGGGGACAGGGACACACACACACAGGGATAGGGACACAGGGGGACAGGGACATACACACACAGGGACAGGGACAGGGACACACAGGGACAGGGACACACACAGGGGGACAGGGACACACAGGGGGACAGGGACACACACACAGGGATAGGGACACACACAGGGGGACAGGGACACACAGGGGGACAGGGACACACACGGGGGGACAGGGACAGGGACACACACACGGGGACAGGGACACACACGGGGACATGGACAGGGACATGCACGGGGACAGGGACACACACACGGGGACAGGGACACACACAGGGATAGAGACATGCATGGGGACAGGGACACACATAGGGGCAGGGATACACACACAGGGACAGGGACACACACACAGGGACAGGGACACACACAGGGATAGAGATATGCATGGGGACAGGGACACACACAGGGACAGGGACACACACACACGGGGACATGGACACACAGGGAGACACACACCTGGACATAGACAATACATACACATACACAGGGGCATACACACAATGCAGACACACAGGGACACAGACACACAGACACACAAATAGACACACCAAATTTTCCAGCAGAACTTGGGCCAACTATGATGTATTTATTACAGAGTATCACAAAGAAAAAACATCTATTACTCCTCAAGTGGCCAAGTTACCACCTTAGCTTAACAGTATGGGCTGGAATTTGAATCCTAACTGTTACACCAGACTTGGTGAGGCAGAACTGATCTGCCCAGCATTTTGGCAATATTCATTGCATTAGACTTGGAGAGAGAATTTTTGAAAATATTCAAATTTATTGTGTGGAAAAAACAATGATATGAAACATGCCTCATTTTCTCATAAAAATTCAGTTCCCCTCTCTCTGCAATTCTTGTCACAACAATAAATTACAAGTTAAACAAGATGAGATTTCTGAACAAGATCCATGTTGGTCATGTAAGACATGCAGGACAAAAAGGCTGAGAAGGCTAAAATATATTCTTTATGTGTATATTTGTTTATACAATGTTTGTATATACATTTTTTGCATATACATTGTTCATGTATAATGTTTGTTATGCTAAAATACACTGTCTAATAAGGGCAGAACTCAGCTCAAAACCAGTGGTTTTCCTAACAAGATAAAACCGCAGTTACTCAAAATTTCCATAACAGAAAAGAATTGTGACAAACAAATTTTTCCCCTTGTAACTCGTGCTTCATATTCATATTTCCAAACTGCTACTTATTTCCTAGCATTCCATAATTAATGCTGTTTGTATTTTCAATAGCATGGTTTAGAGAAATACATTTTTTCCTACCAACATTGGTTATTTCTGACAACCAGAACATCACAAAATTGCAAATGGAGGTTTTTGATCAGGCTAGTTTTCCATTCCAAATATGCAGCTTCTTCTAATGAATGCATACTTAGAGAATGCTTCAAAGGAAATGATTCAATCTCACATGATCTAAAAGGCTTTACAAAATGACTTTATGCTGCATACCATGTATTTGTCTACTTCAGGAATCAAATTATTTAGGCATGAGTTTAAATAAGATTCACAATGGCTGCAGATTAGAAGAAAAAAATTACCTGTCAGAGAATGACATTTACAAGCTTTGAAGAACTGCTGTTAATTCCTGAACTCCCTTCTCTGGACTGTTTAGACCAGCACCAGTGAAGAAGCAAACAGCAATTCTTTCAACAGCCAAACTCTTCCTAACTTCTGCAACATAAGGAACCCATAATGTAAGAGAAATAAAAGTGTAAGAAGGGTAGAAAGAGGGTAAGTCACTTGGTGAAATGGACAAATTACGGAACAGAAAACACACTCAGTTTGGCCAGCAGCTATCCAACCAGTCACGCAACTACTCGAAGGTTACTGAAGTATTTGCTCTTCACACATGAGGAAATGCAGATTTACAGATGTAGGTTGTGCATGACACCAGACCAAAAGGAGACACAGCAATGAACATACAACTGAGGTGGATCCAGTTCTTAAGCAGCCATACACACAGCTAGACAAATCCCCAATGACTTTCTTCTTTCTATGTTTGTGAACTAATAAAAACTGCAAGTAGTAAATACAATCAGGATCTGTCACACTCGCTGGAGGACGTTGGGTCCCTAAAGGCAATAAAAGCAGAGCTAAGCAGAAGATAAAATACAGCAATTTAGCTTGTTTTTTATCAAATTCACACTCCCTGGATGGGCAATATAGGTGTGTTTTACAACCCCATTCAGAGAAAATAACTTGACTGGAAATTCATTACCCTACACACCAGCAGGATTGATTTGAGGTTCATTATGCATTATGCTGAAGTGAGATTGTGCAAACACTCTTTAGGCTCTAGTGACAATGTGGCAGAGTCACGCTAGGAACTGGGAGTGTAACAACAGCACCCAGGTGAACTACAAGAAGCCCAGGTATGTTTGTCACACAGGTCTGTAGCACGTGTGCAGAAATTCATCTGCATCTACTTTCATTGCTTCAGTAAAGGGAAGTGTAAAAAGCTCAGATTTCAGAAAATCTACTCAGCATGGAAATTTATTTGATTGAAGATGCAGCAGAAATCTATGAAATGATGTAGTATTTTTACCAGTGTTTTACACTTATTTAAAAGTAGTGAATAAACTAATTGAGATACTTGAAAATGCTATGTACAGTGTATTATATTGCATTTATTTACCTGTAACAACTCATTAATAAAGAAATCCAGAGATGACTCAGAGGATGAATGATATCTGGATGATTTCCCACGAGGCTATTCTAATAATTAATTCAGTTACTGTTGTAACAACAAATAAACCTTCCTTCCACTCCTCAATATCTTACTTGCAAAATGGGGGGAGAAATCTGTCCATGAGATAAATATGGAGAAACATGCTATTTTTACAGTCAGAATACTACCATCCTTTAAATTTCTAGGATGAAGCTATGGTATTATTACTGTCTAAATACTTCCAGTGGAAGAGAATTAACAGTCTCACAGTTGGTAATTGTTAGTTATAGCAATTTATTGAAAAAAATACACACCTCATTATGTAGCCAGGCTAACAATCCCATGAAACTGACACACAGAGAGTCACTTTGGCAATGTGCTTCTTGGACAGTAAAATAACCAATTTCAGGTTAAGGGCTTGATTTCTGGAAATGTCTTCTAAGGGAAACCTAATTTTAGTCTGTCAAATTGTATGAGCTTTCAGCTATATTTATGAAGGGAGGAATTCAGTCATGAAAACACTGACGTAGCAACAGTGATTCAGAAATAATGGGTGACATCTTCTTTACGTGGCTCCTCTTTTGAGATCCTTTATCTTCAAAATGGTAATAGCATGAAGAAAATAATGACCATGGTATATCTTAAGACCAGACAACAGGTCATCTAACACACTTTTGACAGTGTTGTCATCCTGTAGTGAAAAGAGACAGGAGTTTGTTCCATAAATACACGACTACAATGCATTTGCCATCTTTGTCCAGGAGTACAAATCTGAGAGCAGATAGCAGCTGTGTGACTTTGTCCTTCTCCCTTCTTGTTTCGCTTTTTGTCTTCAAGACAGTTTCCTTATATCCAGGAGCTTTCACAGTGCTTATGATGCAGCATGCTCTATAGGACACAGGAGCTTCTGATCAACAGAGAGAAGTTGAAAAGGGCTTTTATTTTCATTCCAAATCCTTAATCTTCATCACTTGAAGGACAATGAGCTGCATAATCAAAACTAGGAA